AGCAGTGGCAGGAGCAATGTGTGATGAACTGATTGTAACCTCTGCTCCCCATCTCCCTTTATTGCTTACAGGGAGGAGGAAGAGGAAAGGAGGGAGAGGTAAGTAGGAAGATTTTTTTGAGATTTGTTTTACTTCTCTTTATCCTCCTCTGATTTTTCATTGGCAATAAATTCAGCTCATTTTCCAAGTCTGTTTTGCCCTTGATAGTAATCAGTGAGCAAACTCTTCCATTCCTTATCTCAACCCATGGGCCTTCAGTTAAAATTTCTCTCCCCATATGGCTGTAGAGAGCAGCTTTGGTGGGTACCTGGCATCCAGCCAGGATCAACCCACCATTCTCCAACTTTTCAGCTTCAACTGTTGTATGCAGAAATTGCTTATACTCTCAAAACCATAAAAAAGGATTTGAAGTACAGGAATTTATTTTGCAATCAGGGAAAATTAAACAAGAAACTGGAAGTCTTAAATGTGTTGTCCTCAGCATACCCATTAATTCTATCTATAAGGACATTTCATAATGTGGAACTTCAAATCACTATTTTCTTAAAGACTATTCTATTGACTTCAGCATTGAGGTTGAAGCAAGTTGTAATACAGCAGTGGGACATATTATAAGTCAAGGTAAACTCAAAATGCGACCCAGAGATCTGAGAAATAATTTGTATTTCTTTAAAAAGAGGAGAAAGAACACCCAAATTACGCAGATATTTATAGAGGAAGAGATTTAAAATGTTTAGGAGGAACAAGAAGATCAGGAAGAACTAGAACATATAACATTCTGAGGTTTTTTGTTTGAAAAATGCTGATTTTTGGTCTGTGTCACTATGCATTTAAGAGTAAAACTACAGAGAGAGAAAAAATTAATATACAATATTTATTAAAAATAAAATAATATCAGTTATTAATTCTTATTAATTGCTTAGGTATTTCACACAAAGAACACAGGCAAGTTATACATCTCTTAATGGGGAAAATGCATTTATATAATATGGAAAGATATATGCTTACAATATGGAGAGAGGCAAAATGCTTGCAGCTTGCATGATTTCTGAACTACCACAGTCATGGGTACTGGCCTATGCCTTGAAGTATATCTGAATCAGCTACTGAATACCTTCTCCAAAACTCTATCTCAGTAAATAAAATCAAAAATATTTTTAAGAATCACTAACCATACTCCTGGAATCAAAGATTCAGGGATACAGCTTGTTCTATACACAAATTTGGCTTTGCTTGCCCTGAATAGAATCAGATGTCTCTTCTGACTTTAACTACTAAGTGGCCAGCAGGCAAAACAAAGGTTTCACCTCAAAATCTCATAATTAAAAGGCTCATAAATATGCAACTAAGGTACTGGTAATCTTAAACCTCCAAACTATATGAAAAATAAAGGATAAATATGAGAGAGGGATCTAAAATTTCCAAATACTGCATGTATTTACAATTTCATTATTGTCAATGGGAGTGAAATCCATCACCTTTAAAGCAGGAGTGAGTACTGAGGCACACAGAAGCAATACAACTAATCTTTACTTTCAGTAATCCAAAGAACAGTTGGTGATCACACAATAGGCTATGGGCTGACCCAAGTCTTGCATACAAGGAAATATATTTCTATGGTTGGTTAAGAAAATCAATACTGTTGTTTGACCTACTGGGAAAAATACGTCTATGTAAGCATATACTGATCTTAACATCACTTTTACTAATTCAGGACTCTTGCACGCAATTAAATAAAGATATGTTTTACGTATAAAATTGTATCTCAAGAATATCTTGTTGGTTGCCATTAACATTTGGATCAATGCAAGCCGACAGGAGGGTAAACTTAAAGTTGCTTTCGGTAGTTTTGCTCTGAGCAATCCAGAAAACATATCTCTTCGCCTTCAACATAGTGCAATTGTTGCAAAGGACCTGTTATTATGGAATCATAGAATATGTTGAGTTGGAAAGAACCCATGTGAATCATCTGGTGCAACAGCTGTCCATGTGCAGGACACTCCAAGTATCAGAACTTGTGGCTGAGAGCACTGTACAAATACTTCTCAAAGTCAAACAGGCTGGTACTGTGACCACTTTCCTGGGGAGCCTGTTACAGTGCCCAACCAACCTCTGGGTGAAGAATCTCTTTCCTTATATCCAATTTAAACCTTCTTCTACTCAACTTCATGACATTTCTCAAAGTCCTTTCACTGGCCATGTGAGTGAAGAGATGAGTACTTCCTTTCCCCCTCATGAGGATGTAGAAGGCCACATAGACATTTCCTCTAAGTCTCCTCCATGCTGAGCAGAAAAATTGACCTGAGCCACTCCTCATACATCTTCCTCTCAAGGCCCTTCACCATCTTTGTGACCCTTTGGACACTCTAACAGTTTAATGTCTTTCTTATATTGTGACACCCAAACCAGCCCCCAGCACTCGAGGTGAGGCTGCCCCAGCTCAGAGCAGAGCAGGACAATCCCCTCCCTTGCCTGGCTGGTGAAGCTGTGCCTGATGCCCCCCAGGACAGGGTTGGCCCTCCTGGTTGCCAGGGCACTGCTGACCCATGTTCAGGTTGCCATGGACCAGAACCCCCAGGTCCCTTTCTGCCGGGCTGCTCTGCAGCATCTCATTCTCCAATCTGCATATAAAACCATTCTGCCCTGTACCCAGTGCAGAATCTGGCTCTTGCTGTTGTTAAACTACATGAGAGTCCTACTTCACTTTAATCTTCAGGACCTTATATGGAATATACACTTTAGGAGACTTCAATTTTTGCAGTTGTGACAAATGATATGTATATTATTATAATTGTCTGCTACACTGCCCCAAATCCTGCTGTTCCAGAGACATCTCATGAAAATGTTGCTTTTCTCCCAGGATCATTATGAACTCTCACAAACTACTGAGGCCCATGATTATTATGTTTACAGTCTGTCAGCCACTTTAGGTAAGTGGTAAACTGCAGCTCCTATTGCAAATGAATACAAATAATTTCTGAGTCACAGTTTGTCTTCTCTGAAGTTTACATGTGTTCCCTCTAATTACAGAAATAGGTTTGTTCACACAAATGTTACAGAGAAAGAATGCCCCACTGGTTCTTCTATAACACAACGGTTTTCCGATCTTTTAAAATAACCTTCATAGAAGCAACGGAAGAACCTTGTTTTTAAAGGAAGCTCACCATTTATTATGGCAAATTCCATACTCTTCACCATTCTGGACAACTTATGTAGGACAAGCTATTGCTGTGATAGATGGTAAAGCAATTTCTCTCCTATAGCATATAGTTGGGACAAATCTAATTATGGATTTTTTAATGCAGTACCTCTGCTGTCACAAAGGTATGACAAGGTTAACAGGGATACACTGAGACAATAATAGTTTGAGTTGCTTTAAATTTAACATGCCGATTTTTCAATGTGAGGAATACAGCATGAGCATTTATAGTTAGATTTTTTTGGTCATCCTCAAAAATGCAGTAGTTGTAGATATACGGCAAATTTGTTGAAGAAACTGAATGCTGAGGAACATGGGAACTATAAAGTCATTTATGCATTTAAAATTATTCTACCATTTTAGGGTATATAAGAAAAGAGTTAGTTTAACTAAAATTACTCAGGGACACTAGTGCTAATATATTATATCTATTCTAAAGCCACAGAAAAATAACATCAGTGTTTATAGTTTTAGCAGCACAGTTACCTTCAGACTTCCAAGTAAGAATGTAATGAGAATGCAAATGAATTTGTTTTAGATATTTAGGAACTCCGTTTCTAAGAGAAAGTTATTTTGAGAAAAAGTATGCTTCATATTTGGATTAAGCCAGAATTCAGCCTGCTCATAAATCCTAGGCAACTATATGCAAAGAACTTTGAATCTTTTTCCCATCTAGATTTTTGTGCTTTACTGCTTCAAGTTTTTAAAAGATTTGAAAACAGAAAACAAGACTAAAAATAGTCTGTCTCATTAAGCAATCTAGAATTTTGGGATGCATGCCCTTGGGTTAGGTCAAGAGGTCTAGATGATTGCCTTCTTCAAATCATAAATGAGATTAACCCAGAAGCTATCTACCCTATTTCATTTACTTCAGGATTGCTTTTTCTAGCTCAGAACAGAAAGTCAAAGAGAAAAAAGGTAGGGAGGAAAGCAGGTCACTGTGCAATGAAACATGAATCTACACCCAACTTTTTTTTTTTCTACAAACTGTTTTTGAGACTTAGGTATGCTCAGAACCTAACAGATGGTAAAGAAGTCCTTCCCTTCATCAGCCAGTAGCCTACATGTAGTTTAGAAGAATAAAGTCTTATGTAGATAGAGTAAGTAATTTAACAGGAGCAATGGTGCAGCGTAAGTGCATAAATAAAAGCACAAATGTAATAAAAATCCAAATTAGGATGCAAGTAAATTGGTTAATGACCAAGAAATCTCCACACACTGTGAAGTGAAGGGTCAAAAAGTCCCCATTTATCGTGGGTAACAAATAAGGAATGCTGAGGTCCAAGGCGATGTAGCAGCTTGCTTTGTCCTACAGAAAGAATGGCAGTTTTTTCACTTTAGTATCTCATCTACTGCCATGCAGGATTCCGATTTATAGGGAGCAGTAATCCTCAAAGATAATGTAATTTGATAGACCTTGAAGACTTTGATGTATCTAAATTAAAAGCTACAACATTATTTTATACTTGGTGCTTCAAATCAGATATGCTACTGCAGCTAACTGTAGAGAGCACTTCAAAAACATATAATAAAATCCTTCAAAAAAAAAACCCCAAGGGAGCAGCATAAAGTGAGAAAATAATATTTCAGATTATACATGTCTCCATCCACCCCCATTGCCCCCCCCCCAAAAAAAAAAAAAAACAGTAAAAGAAATTAATTTAAGTCAATGGAAACAGATTATTAAAATAAAGACCCTAAAATTACACAAGTATGGAGGAGGAGAGGGAGTGAGCATGTGAGAGAGATCTGAGGAGGGGAGTCATGAGGAGAGGGGCTGAGGCAAGGCTTCTTTCCTTACTTGGCACAAGCCACTGATGCACATGTCCAGGGATTCAGTGTAGCACCGTGTCCCATCCAGAACTTTTGGTGCCAGCTCCACAACCAGAGCCGTTCCTCTGGCCTGGCACTTCAGAGAGCATGGGTTGTCAGGATCATTAGAGATGGGAAGCCACTCATACAACTGTCCCTGGTACTTGACGTCGTTGTGAGCAGAGCACTGCTGGGCACGAAAATCACCTGCTTCTGGTGGGCAGTCCTGCAGAAAAGAAGGAGGAGAGGATCAGCAGGCTTATTCAGGACTGCCAGCTGCTGTAACGTGCAGCTGGCAGTGTTCCACAGCTGCCAGGTGGAGACAGTTTCTGTTTAGACAAAAAAGAGTGATTGAAAATAGCTACAGCTACATATATTTCAACAGATGATTATACCTTTCTTTCTTCTTTCCATGAAAGTATTGAAAGAACACCAAGACCATATGTAAATGGGAAATAAGAAACGCACTTAAAACTGTCTTAACCGCAGCCTTGTGGTTTAGCAAAAGAGGGTTACCATGCCCTTGCTGGATCTCATTCTACTTGTGCACATATGTGCAGAAACGTGTGCACAGCCACTCTGTTTCAAACAAGTTTTACCCTTTGCTTTAGAGAGAAAAAAGAACTATGTGATTTGTTTCTTTATTTAAGCTCTTGCCACTAGCTATTTTTTTTTTTTGCCTCAGTGACATAAATCAGTTGCTGCGGCACAGTGAATGAGAAGCATTTGATACATATTTGCATTTCTTTAAGCTAAGATTTCATAGCTCACATAATTAGGAACTTCCAACTGAGAAGACCTTAAAAAAACCCCATTTTTTACTTCTTCAGGAGATTTATGAGACATATAAATCTAACCCTGAACTCAGCCTACCGATGAAAAAAAACAAAGACCACTCATACTAGAAGACCCATACCAAAGACCCATGCATAAAGTATATTGTTGACAAAAATTTCAGGCTTTTCTTACCCACAGATACTTTCTTGCTGCCACTTAGCACTGAAGAACATTAGATAAGTTCCCAAGAGAGCAAGAAGATCTTTAAAATCATGAGTCTTCAGGCAAAATAAACATGAGTTCTTTTTATTTCCTTTCCAGTATTTGATCCTTGAAGAATAATATTTCAAGTCTTCTTTTGCAAGCAACCACAAAGGCTAGGGATTCACTAGGGTTTTCTTACAAGTAACTAGAATTTCTTGCATAATTACAGGAATATAGAAGCTAAGCTTTACAAAAAACATTAAACAGCATAAGAACGGAGACAAAAAAAAAAAAAAGCACAAACGTTGGCAATATGACTGCCTCAGATTATTAAGATTGTGGAGTCCTCCACCTTAAGGACCCCTCTCCATAAGGAGATCTACTCCTGGATGATATCTAGTAAAATACCAGATGAAATGAACAGTTGTTCCCCCTCTGCTTGAGGACTATAACATTTTTTAAACCCTAAGTCATAGACAATCCTACATGTTGATTGTAGGCTTGGTAGGAAAAGTGTTTTATGTACACACAATAACACAAGTAGACAATATATTTATAGGATATTTGTATTCTCTGTTTTCCCTCAAATAACTTCTTCCTATTAGACAATCATTACTGACAACCTTATTCACAGACTTCTTATGCTCCTAGTCAGGAAAGTCGTATTGCTGTTAAGGGATAATAGCTCTTAGATTTAAATAATCACCTATGTTTCTCATATCTTTTCTTACCCCTTCATTTACTAACAGTTTTCTGCAATTTTTGAAAGGACATACTATTACAGCTTTGGTTATAAAAGACATGGAGGCTACATATCACTTTGTGACATTAATGGATCATTTTTTATTATTAAAATCTAAAATAAAATCTGTGTTAAAGATCAAGCTTTCAAATCTTCTCTCAAAGGAACATGGCACAGTTTTGGCTATGGATTTGTAATTTGCCATTTGTAATCCCTTGGTTTAAACCCAGGTTAGCCATTTTGGCCTCTCAATCACTGTGGAATGTGATTATGGCTATTTTATCTGAATGTTGAATAATCTTAGCTCACAGCATTCCAAACCTTTCTTGTTGTGAACTACACACACACAAGCTGTGGCCTTAGCCACAGATTGTAATCTAATTTTCTTTGTACCATGTGAGCAAATTTTCAATTAATTCACTTTGTGTTTGAGTCTGATGCACCCCAAAAGTAAAGGGTCAAACTCCAGTCAAAAGTTCTATGATCTAAGTAGAAGGCAAGAGTTACAAAATGTTCAGTGGAGTAAGGCATAAAAGAAAAAAGGATGTGGGTTAAATTTAGCTCTAGAAAAAATATGTGTCAAAGAGCAATAACCCAGAGCTCATTTTTCCTTTTTGAAAGTGGAGGTTGAAAGTCCAAGCCTGTAACTGGTATTTTACTGCTGGAGAACTCAGTTTTTCTATCAATATATTACAGAATATTAAAAAAAAAAAAGCTGCAAATATTTCAGTTTGACTTTAAAATATAAAGAAAAACTGAGGGCAATCAGGCTCTTTTTATGATCTGGGCAAACTTTTGATACAAGACAAAGTTTGAACACTGAAGTAAGAAGAAAAATATGTGGGGAATTAATTATTCCTCTGCAGCTCTGTAATTAGGGAAAAAGTGGTCTTTATGTTCTGCTCTTATACAAAGGATGAACAATAAGACAGCTACAGCTTGACCCAAGATCTGGTTTAGTTCTATTTTCGAACAAGAAAAGAAGAACACAGTGGCCTTATTTCCTACCACAAAATCTTCTGGTGCCTACCCTTCTGTGAATTTTTCTGTCTGTAAATGAATACAGTCAGGTCTATTGGCTTGGCAGATTCCCAAGCCAAGGCTCAGTTGCAGAAATCCAAGCCAGCTCTCTAGTTTGGTTCAAGCTTGGCTCTACCTTCAGAACTTCCTGGCTTGTAACAGCTTAATTTTTACAAAGAGAAAAAGGCCCAATAAGGCACACGACACACAGAATTCATAATCCTGCTTTGTACAGAACTCAATACTATGTTTGTTTTGTTGGATTTTACTTCTTAATCAAAGAAATAAAAAATGTTCTTCAACATAATAAGCCTTCAGGACACAACAAGTGACCAAGACTAATGTTAAATACTTCCAGTCTTTGATATTGTGGTCAAAATAAAACAATGGATTTAAATAGCAGAGCTTGTGTTTAAAAAGTTTTCACGTGAAACTTGAAGTAATTAAGAATATATGCAAGCAGTCAGAAACACATACACACATACTTATCTCGGCACATAGATGTGAAAAAGGGTCACAACCCTGCTGAAATCCTGAATCGTAAATTTACCTGAAGGCATTGGAGATGACTTTCCCTCAGGAAGGATCTTTTCTTCTGCTTAAAAAAGCACAAGTACTTGCATGTTCATGTATAATATCTCCACAAGCTGTATAATATTTTTAAATGCCAAAATGGACAGTGTTGAGAAAATTTGTGGTCTGAATTCTGAACCCTTTTTTCATTTTTAGAAGCAGGTAACTGAGACCAAAAATATAGGAAATGTACAAAACTTAGCACATAATTTTTTTTTCATCTTAAATTTACTGGGTTTTGTTTGTATTATATGTCAGTGGAGATCAGAGCCTCTTCATGCTGACGTTTGTGCAAACAGATGATCAAAGCCCCATATAAGTTTTCAGCCTATAAATAAGTATTTTAGTTGCTGAAACAGAATATAAGGCAAAGCCAGTGGTTTTTTGCATATATTTTCAAGCAGTAAATTGCTATTTTCTTCTTAACACTTTGCACACCTTTAGATAAGGCCACTTGCTCTTTTGAGGCAGTCTTGCTGTGCATTATTTCTGCCAGCTCCTGGACAGGAGAAACTATAAACTAATTCCAAAAAGTCTTCTTGAAAAAAATCAGCCTGCTTTTGGTACTTGCATGATGGTTCAGGGGAAGGGGACCCTCTAAGGCTGCCAGTTAGCACTGCTCCATTGGCCCGAGTGAAGTCACATGTTGGTCCAGCTAAGGGTCTGATTCTGGGAGCTGCGTAACAGTATGTAGCTTGTCTACCTGCACAGCAGATTGACAGATGCCTTGAGACAGCCAGAAGTCATGGGCCAAGTCGGGGTCGCAGTGAACACGAGGTAGTACATCTCTGCATGAGCTACATGGTTCCATGAGGAATTCTGCTAACCACATCTGCATGGCCCGTGTTTGGCCTGGAGCACATGGCAGCCCTGGTATCTGGCCACAAAACTACTACAGTCCTCTTTAAGGTTGTTCCAATTTTGGTACTATAGCCAAGTCTTACCTGTTTTGTTTTCTTTTGGAAATTATCTATGAGCCCCTGCAGATAAGAGGAACTGCTGCTATTGCACTCCTTGAAGAATCAGAAAGGACTAATAAACTTTAAAGTATCATCTAAGTCCATTTGTCTTCAAACTTCCTATTCATGAAGATGTTTTAGGGATGAAAAAATTCCAGTGAATAGGAAACAACTGTTCCTCCTTTAATTCTGTGAGTCCTAGTTGGGTCTTTTATGGCTTTAACTCACAAAGGCTCATGAGATATGACTGAAACACTGAGCCTGTGCTGGATACCTATAATCTTTATTCATCCTGTCAGGTCAAGATTTCCTGTTCTGCAATGAAAATATATATAATTTTAAATGTGATCATAAACCCCTTTGATCTGTGAAACCCATTTTAAAACATACACAGGAGTTTCATCCTCATTTCTTAGATATATAATGTGGCCCATATTATTATGGATTCATTTTCTTCCTCACATTGATTTTCTTTTTTTTTTTTAACTTGACCTCCTATTTTACCCTATTGTAATTCATACGGTCCATGGAGTTTTGCCATGTTTGAATCCCATTCAAAAGAATTTCCATTAATCAACAATCCAGTGGAAAAGATAAGATGAATCCCAGATGTCCCTTGATGGTGATAGGTAGATCAGATTTCATGGGACAAAAGAGGGTCAGCCTTTTTAAAGTTTACTTAGTGGGTGAAATGTAGAAGATCCTATCTAAGCAGCAATAGGTGGAAACAGTTGAAGAACTTTAAAACAGTTTACAATATATGTGCTTGTATATTTGCAGAGGCCAAGAATGATTTACTATACCTGGAGCTTTTCCTCTGTACAAAAAGTGGCTAACAACTGGACTATTCCGTGCAGCATCTGACAGAACAGCTTATTGAACCAGTTCCATGAAGCACTCACGGTGTTGCAGCTGCACCAGTTTTCCTACTGAGAAAGAAAACCTGACGTC